TACCATGTCCATGCCAGATGACCAGCTCTCTTAGCCACAGGTTTCACAACCTCCACTTCTTTTCTGTAATAAATAACCACAGAAATTCATAAAATATGTGCTTTGTTCCCCAGATAGGCTTTCCTCTTAGGGGAAATCAATATATTGATTCTATTTCTATAGACATCTTTCTGTGTAACAATACTGAAGTGAATGCTTCTGAAGACCCCATCCATGTGTTAAGCCTGATGATAGAGGCCTCAGTGCTGACATCAGATTTCAGACTGCTGGAAAGGCAGAGTTTTGCTCACTTGTACTTCCCAAGACCGCTTGAACTTTTATCTAATACTGTTGATAGACCTCAAATGCAATTTAAACACTCATTGAACCAGCAAGAGATGCCACTGGAATTCCCCTACTGCCTCTCTTTCAGAAAGAAATGGGAATAAGTAGGCCTTAGCCTGTCATACTGGTATGGAATAATACTTCTTTTTAAGTGCAAATGTTTTTCTTTCCTGTTGATATGATAGACATGAAAAGGATCAACCCAAAAGAGTATTTCCTGTCTCCAAAGGAAATTTTCATCCTAACATATGAAAGCATGAGCTTTATTTTCATGTCTAAAATTTCTTCAGCTGTTTCTGGATTAATTTCCCACAAATCAAGAAAATGGGTTTCCTCTCAAATTGTTCCTTGGCCTACATGTTGTGTGAAGCACGAGGGACAAAGGTGTTTCTCTAAGATGAAAATAATCAGATTTAAAATATTTAATTTTCAGATTTTAATAGCACTCCGGTTGAAGCCACCAGTTCATTTCATAGCAGTTGTTGGGTGATAGCTTGGAAAAGAACAAATTAAATTGGTGGCAGAAATAGAAAGTTTCATCTCCCATTGATATATAGCCTTCATAGTGCTGATCTGCTTTACTGATAATGAGGGTAATCTATGCATTAATTTTTTTTGACTCTTAATGATTCATGCTAAATGTGCATTGGGAGGAACTGACAGGTACTAGTTTCATAGGTGTCTAGGAATTACCAGTGAGCTTTGTGTCCCATTCCCCCTCTGTACAGTGGGGATGCTTTCCATGTAAAGAAACCCCAGATTTTGACTTCAGAAAGAGCTCATGCTTCAGACCGCAGCAGTAAGCTGACAATCTTGACTGGGGATTCCTGCCAGGTACACTTCAACAGTGTCAAAAAAAAAAGGTGGGAGGAAAAGAGTATTTAAGAATATATTGATGGACCACTGGCACTTATCATGATAAATACTCTTCCCATTGGTTGGTAACAGTTTGATAACTCTATTAAATAAGTGCAAATATATAAAGATTAAAGGATTTAGACACACTTATCATTGAAAGGGATTGTTTTTACTAATTGTAATTTTCCTGTATGCTGGCCTCGTATTCCTTAGTAGCAAAATTAATGTTTGTATTGTCATGCATCCATCAAAGAGATTCATACTGCAATCAGGAATTAATTTTTCTGTTCAGGTATTGGAGAGAAGGAAGTGAGAGTGTGTGCAAGAGCCAAATTCAACATTAGACCTGAATTCTAACTCTTGGTATTTAGAAGAGCAAACAATGAAACACTCAATTTGTTCCAAACACACAATGTGAATTTACCTCCAAACTCTTCAAAATGCAATACGATCATATTGAATTTGAGCTGGATTGTATAACGAATTATCATTTATTTGAACAATGTGAAGGGGTAAACCCAAGGAAAATAAAACCCCCTACATTCATTTCTTTACTGGAGCATCTTTTGGCTTCTTAGGTCCTTTTGTCCAGACTTCCTTGCTTTGTGAGCCCCAGAGAACATCTTAGTGTTAAGGACCATCTTGCCTGTTCAGCTCTCACCGGTGCCGCTGGTGAGCAGCCTTTTGGCATCCTCCTTCTGCCTGGGCTCCTGCTGGGTACCCCATGGCCTTCCTCCAGCAGCAATCCTTAGGTTATTTATTTAACTCCTTTTTCAGGCTCCTGCCTTTTCAGACAGGCAGGAGAAGTAATCTTTGTATATTTTCAAACTATCCATTTCTACCTGACTGAGCAATCATGAAGGTTGATGAATTAACCATTCCAACGTATCTGCCACAGGCCCACTGGTCCTTGGAAATGAGGAGTGTCACATACCTCATGGTTCCCCTTGCTGTGGGGGGTGACCAGAATATGGAAAGCAGTGGCTTGGGAAAAGAATAATGTGTCAGTGACAGAAGTTTCCAAAAAGGACTAATGATAAGTTTAAATACCCAAGTGGAAAATTGTGATCAGAAATACAGAGGTGATCTTAGCTCTGTGTGAACCATTATTGCAGAGACACTGTACTGTTTGGTACTAACCTAGTATCCCTTCTGCAAGGCATCTTCAGAAACAGGAGAGAGTGGTTCCATGTCTGGAAAATTCATAGAAGTTTGAGCCTTAGGGATTGTGGGAGATGTAAAGAACACACTCTATTTAACTTACCAGGAAGAGGACAGATCAAAATGCAAGCCAGTTTACAGTGTGAGAAAAGAGAGGTCTAGCAGATAGGCAGCTAGGTCCACTGTAGGAAGCTGAAGCCTCTGTATTAGAAATAAAGCCCAAGTTTTAGTAGACAAAATAGTGAACTTGGCCAAAAAATAGTAGTGTGTCATCATCCCTTGATGATTTCGAAGCGCAACTGTAAGCCATAAAATCTAACCTCATCATCTTCACACAGCAAGGCCTGTCCAGGAGAGATATCTTTAAATCACCCTCGGCTGGTTGGTTGCTTTACTGGTAATACAGGTCTGACCTTCTCTAAAAGCTCAGGGGTTGATTCAGCCATGGTAAAGCAGATTGAGCACTGCAGCTTCTCCAGCAGGAAAACCCTTACATGCAGATCACTATTAGCAGAACTGCTCGGCAGTGCACAGCTGGTTAATTCCTAGAGACAGTCCATTTACTTTTAACAAAGGTATTCTTAGATCGTAGAATCACTTCTGGAAGAAAAAGTAAAATGGCAAAATCTGCCCACAATAAAACAAAACATATATTCAAAAAATGCATTCAAGTTGTTTTCCTCCAGAAAATGCACTGCATATTTTATTGTAGCATTTTAAACCCGATGTTTCAAGTACTTTATTAGCGAAACAGCACTTGCTCCATTTGGCACATTTTTAATCGTGCTCTCCCCAGCCCCCCAGCCATGCAGATGTTGCGCGCTGCAGATGACAAGGCCCTTGCAAAGTTTGCTTCTCTGCCAAACCGACAGACATTTTTTTCCTTTTTTTTTTTTTTTTTTTTTTCCACGGACTGTGCCAGAGTCAGACAGAGTTCATCGCCCCGACGCCCTTGCAGCGAACCCGCGAGTGCCCGGCTTCAAGCGCTGCCCTGGCAGGGCGCGCCGAGAGGAGACCCCGGCTCTCCTCGGGGAGGGAACCTGTCCTTGCCCGGGGGTTTTCGACGGAACGGGTCTCCTGCTCGACTCGGCAGCGCCGGGTGTCTTCAGCCGCCCCGTGCCCCTCGGGGCCCCGGCACATCGGCTCCGGCTGCGGGGCAGGGCCGGGCCGGGCCGGGCCGGGCGCTGCCCCGTGCCGCTCCCTGCCGCCGCCGGGCGCTAAACGCAGCCCAGTGCCGGCGTGTGGGGCCGCCGGTGGCTCCTGGCCCGGCTGGAGCCCAGCCCGCGGCCGCCCCGCTCTCTGCCCTCGCTGCGGGCAGAGGGATTCAGCAGAAGTGCTGCTCTAAGGGTGGCGAAGGCTCTCTGCCGGAAAGCGAAACCGGGCCTGGGGGTTTTGCCCTGATTTTTTTCCTTTTAACGGATATCGCTTAATATTGTCCATCTCCAATTTCCGAGGTAGTGACAAAAGGTCAAATCTGATACATTTTCTTCCCCCCAGTCAGCCTGTTTGCAAATAATTAATAAGGGCACAATTAGGCAGCAATGATGGGACGGGCAGTTACGGTCTTCCTGACGCTACTGAGCAAATCTTCTCCTGATGACACAGTTCGGGTTCTGCGACATGCGCCTTGGATGTCTCTCAGAAATAACCCCGAGACCTCCCCCCAAATAAAGCCCTAATAAGAAGTCAGAAGAGCACCGTAACTATGTTTGCTTTTGGCTTTTATTATCAACAATCAATTAATGGTACACTCTTGGAAAACTATATGCACATGTAGAAATATTTCCCCTTTTAAATAGAAGCATTCATTTTAACCACATATAAATAAATCTGGAAACCCTGAACATAATTTATGACCATTATGCTCACAAACATATTCCAACAGGTAGGGAAAAGAAAAAAAAAAATGAGACGACATGCAACCAATAATAAAAATATATATAATTGCCTGAACCTGGTCTCTCTAAACGCAAAGGGAACCGAACCCGTGAGAGCCTTATTTCTCCATAAAGACACGCCATAGAGACTACGAGAAGGGAAAACATTATTTTTACGGTCAACTAGACAAGTCTGTACTGATATTAACACTATACAGTTGAGTCACAGAACACAGTTGTAGAAAGACACGGAAAAAGAGAAAGCATACCTGGCGACATTCAACTAAGGGCTATAGTTTGTGCCTTGTAAAATAAAATTAGAAAACCCTAACGGAGATGCCTAAAAACTGCGTAGACCGTGTAATAATAATAATTAATAATAATTAATTAATAATAAATACAGGCCGCCCTCCGTGAGGAGCGCGGGCCCTGCAGGGACCGGATCCGCGGTACAGGAAGCGGCAGCGGCCGCCGGGTCAGAGCTGAACCCGGCGGGGCGCCGGCGGCGGCGGCAACGGAGAGACCCAACGGAGGGACGGTGACACCGGACGGTGGAGGAAGGACCACCCCCAGGCGCGGGGCCGGGGTCGGCGGGAGGGTGGCGGGGTCGGAGGGGAGGAGGGGAAGAAGACGCTTTGTCCCTCCGGCTGACCGTGAAAAGGAACTTAAAAAACCCCCCGGGCGAGAAGGGCGCCCCCCTCGCGGCCGGGCCGCCCCTGGGCTCGGTCCCCGCGGCCCGCCG